ACTGAGGTAAACAAATGAAACACAAGAGGTGTCTCTGTTCAACCTGGACAAGACTGCTCAGAGAGCAGCAGGAAGCAGCAGGGAGCTGTGACCTCCTCCCACACCTCACCTGATGCAGCGCAGTTAATCCATCCTCATTGCACAGGTCGGGGCTGATGTTGCTCTTCAGCAAGTAACACACTGTAAGGGAAGGAGACAGGAGGAGAATCAGAACTGTAGTCCTAACACATCTCTTGCTCTCAGCCAGCCCTGACCGGTTCAAGACAAAGGCGACTCACACCATCAGGGTGTTCCAGTGTGGGCAGAGCTGCAGGAGCCACGAGCCCAACACTGACATGTCACTGCAGTGCCAGTGAGAAATGAGCCTTCTTGGATTTATCCAGCAGGGAGCACCAGCATACAATTTTCCCCCAACTTCCTTCCAAAGGAGGCTGCTATTACAGTTATCATTTTCATACAGTGATGCTGGAACAGTCTCCATTTTTACCTTGTGCTTTGCAACGTCCCAGTGCAGTCTCTGCACTCTGTAGCCCAGGAGAAATCAAGGGCAAGTGGAGATTTCAGGATCTCATTGTGAGAGGAATGAGGTCTTCTCTCAAGAAGTTATCTATCCATGATGACAAACCCAATACGCTCAGGGCCCTACCACACATAAATACATCAGGATTGCTTTGGACACTTCACTCGAGCTGTTGGGTGCTTGGAGAAAGCTTCCCAGAGGCTTTATTTTTTAATTGCTGCTTTGGGGAAAAGGGTAAGATTTATTCCATTAAAATGCAAATTTCTGAAACACATGAAAAGTTGTTAGCCCCTAGGTGAAAAATAAAGTTTGCTCTGAGGATCAGATCTTCCACAGGGTAATAGCAACAAAGCTGGCAGAGAAAACAAATCAATTGCAACACTAGGAATTATTCCAATTTAACACTGCTGACAAATCTCGATGATCCATACCTATCTTCTATTGTTTACTTGCTCGTTCCCTGCCTTTTCTCCAGAGATTTCACTACCTAATGGCTTTCCTACCTCAAATGTCACTGACAGCACAAGATAGAGGTTCATAATCATCTCCCTGGGGCCAGAGTAGCAACAGATATTCACATCACATCTTATTTGGTGACAGGGAGGCAAGCACTGAGTGAAACCAGAGCTGCAAAATCAGGAACACTGACAGAGCTGAAAGAGCAATAACCATCCTCAGAGCTGGCAATCAAAACCACTGTAAGGCTGCTCACTCCAAAGCATCCTGCAGCCTCTGATCCCTGTCCCACTGTCAGAGGGAGCTCTTTCCCCAGCACATCCACAGGGAAGCAGGGCTGTCCCCTGGGACAGAGCACTTCTGGCATCCAAAGCAGAACATGGAAAACACATCCACAATGACATCAATGTTGATTTATGAAGCTTTGTTTTAAAAGATCTGGAAAAGGCATGTGCAAGAAAGGCAAATCCAAACCAAAGTGAAATTTTGATTGGAAGCCACTGGTGTGACGTTATCAAAAAGGAAGGCAGAACCAGACAGAAGGGAAATAAAACACTTTATATGAGTTGGGTGGATTGTTTTACCTAACTCCAAATGAATGCTTTATGTTTTCTGGAAATAATTTCAAGGCATTGACACCTTTTTGATGAAACTGATACAAAAAAAAGCAGAATACAGCAAAGAACAAAACTCATCCACAGCTGCAGTGAGTCCGAAGCCTCTGGGTTTTTTCCAGCCCCAGGAAGCCCACGCCTACACTCAGCTCACACCCCCAACACTTGCATGCTTAACAGTAATAAAAGCACTGAATCCCAGCCCATACAGCCCATTTAATGACTCTGCTTCCACTGTTTCTGGCCAGCCCTGAGCTCCTGTTCTCCTAATCCAAGCTGAGTGATAGAGGAGTCATTCACCAGTGGCTCTGGTTGTCTCTTATTTACCTCAGATGCTCTGCCATTAGGGTTTTAATTCAATCTCAGTCAGTTAAGTGCCATTGTGTACTAATGACATGCAGCTCCATAATCATGTTTTGCCTGATTATGGAGATTTGGACAAGTAGATGTTGGCAGATGAACCTTACAAGTGCTGTCCCTCCACGGGAAGAAGCAGTAGCATAAATCACAGCTTGTTATGGAGTATGAGGGTTTGTGTTGACTGCACTGTGGCTGTGACTTCACAGAGCTTGTAAGAGGTCCTGAAGGGTTAAGATTCAAAGAAGTGCTTATCTTACCCTAAAGCAGCTTTGAATTCTCCATCAACCCCTGCACAAGCATTCATGGTCCCAGTGCACCTTCCCTTGGCTCCTTTCTTCCCCCAGGACAGGTCCACCATATTTCCCAGTATCTCCCAGCACACTGAAGACTGACAAGCACAAGACATTAGAGAGGAGCTCAGAAAAGTCAAATAATGAAACTAGGTATGGATGTGGTACCAGTGATCCAGGCAAACATGGCATGAAGAAGAGATCAAACTCCTTACCAGCCTAAGCTGAAGTTTGCATCTCAGTTTGGCAAGGGAACACAGGGCTGGGCAGCAATGAGTCCTGGCTCTTTTCTCTGAAGCCAGAGGGATTTTGCCCTCAGTATTCCTCATGCTCCAGACAGCCAATCCCAACAGCTAGGCAGAACACCAAGAACTGCAATTTCCTATTACACATCCCCCTTTTACAAGTGAGGAGATTTACCTAGTGTCCCAATCTCATAGCAGAACACAGCCCCTGTTCCTACCCACCACCCCAGCTGCTGGGCATGGGGTGGCAAAAAACATCTTCATCATCCCCTGCTCCCTGTGGACTGACCTGCAGAGGGATGGGGAAGGAGGACATGGACACCTTCCCCAAGCTCACTACCCTGGAACAGCATTGCCACATGACCATGGAGCACAAGGTCTCATTTCTGAAAAACTTCAGTAGTAATGTGCATTTGTGGGTTTTCCAGTGCCTTAAGAATATGAAAAGGGGGACACAACTGTGACACTTTGCAGTGCTGGAAGCTGGACCCTCAGTTCCAGGGCTGTGGCATTGCTACTAACCCACTCTACTGCTTAGAACAGGGATCTGAGCATGCAAGATGCTTCTCTTCAAGAACTCCTGGTGCCACATGCCTCACTGCAGAGCCCAACACCTTCTCCCCCACCTTCAGGCATGATGGATGCAATACAGGTAGGAGGGTTCTGATCACCTTCTGTCAGCTCCAGCCTCAGCCTCCACTCCTGGAAGGACAATCCCCCCATAGGCTCCCCCAGTACTGCATGGAAATGTGTTCTCTGTGAGCCCAGGCCACTCTGAGCCCAACACAACAGGTTTCGAGGGGTCACATCATCAGGTTCAGATCAGCAGCAGTCCACTTTAACACTGTGATTAACTTCTTAGAGAGCTCAGTGGTGAAAATGCTGAGCTCTGTCAAATCTGTCCTTCTTTGCACGTAGGCGTGGGCAGGTGGGGAGCAGGGGCTGGGTGCGTGGAGAGACTTTATTACGTGTCAAGCACAAGTTGTGGGAAGCAGTTTTGAATGCATAGCAAATGAAGGAATGAAAATGATTACAATAAGAGCTGTGTGATTAACTTCTTAGAGAGCTCAGTGGTGAAAATGCTGAGCTCTGTCAAATCTGTCCTTCTTTGCACGTAGGCGTGGGCAGGTGGGGAGCAGGGGCTGGGTGCGTGGAGAGACTTTATTACGTGTCAAGCACAAGTTGTGGGAAGCAGTTTTGAATGCATAGCAAATGAAGGAATGAAAATGATTACAATAAGAGCTGGGTGAACAAATTGTTGTGAATAATTCATTGCAAATTATATTAACTGAACAATCACTCAAATGTATTTTCCATTATTCTGCTTGCTCTGTCTATAATTGAACCTCTCACACGCCAAGATGGAGTACATTAATCTTCAATTTATGTTTTATCATTCACATCTGTGCTGTGTTAAATGGAAAAAGCTCCCACAACAGCTGTGAAAACACAGCCTTGGTTTTAAGTCTCCTTCCATCACATGTCCTGGGGCAGCCTTAGAAAGATTCTCCTCCCTGAACACAGCAAAGCCACTTCTCACGAGCTCCCTTCCCCTCCCAAGCATGTCCAAGCCTCTCTTATTCTCACCAAAAAATATAAAGCAGGGGAAAGGCAAAAACAACACTGCAAAGGCCCTGAGGAAAGTTCAAGGCAGGGTAATCGGCTCTCCCACCTGGAGAGATATTACAGCACTATCATTTTTCATCAGAGGTACTTCCCACTGAGTTTACACGAGAAACAGCTTTTCCAGAAAAGTTCCTAAACCAGATGAGGACTTTTCCATGAGGGAAATAAAAGCCTTTGTTTGTGCAGTTCCCACTAAGTCAATAAGCTGCACTATAAAATTCTGGATACTATTACATTCCTATCTATACCCAGTGCTTGCATACCTCAAGTATTAATAACTCAAAGGAGAAAAAGCCAACTGGAACTGATACGGATACCAGGGAGAGGGAAAAAGACCCAAGAGACACCTTCCTGATAGGAGGTCCTGATTCCTCCCAGAAATACATAGTGGCAAATTGTCTCTACTGGCAAGAAGGTTTACCTGTGTGCTCCGAGTTTGCATATACACAATGGCCATTAGCTTATAAAAATTCAGGTTTATTTCAATCCTTTGCATTCAAGAATTTCTTTTTTGAATCATTAAACTCTTCTAGCTCACTTTCTGGTTAACTAGGCATTTTCAGGCCACCTTTAAAAGCTACTGTTGCACTGAGGTCTCTATGGCAGTGGAATAATTCCTGTATGTTCATACCTGATTTTACTGAATGAAATGAAGTTTCACTTGGGTTAAGACACACATTTTTACAGATTGCTCCAAGTCACTTCCACCCAAATGTAGCTTTAGTCAAAGACTCAGTGTAGCAGAAGAAACTCCTCCCAGCATTACTTGTAGTGAGATACCAGCGGTGTCTGTGCCATGCAGGGGGTGCTGGCAAAAGTCTGGAAAGACTGATCCCAGCCTGCCAGGCATGGGCTTATGGATGGGCTCAGCTACTTCAAAGCTGCATGTTTACTGCTGTGGTTTTGCAGGGATATTTATTACACAGGAGAAACAATGCCAGGAAAACAGCACTGAAGCTGTGAGTACTCTGCCAGCAAAGCATCCAACTTCCTAGCACAGCACACTGTGATATTCATATTTTACAGCATACCTAAACCCTGAGCAATAACAGGATGAACTTACTCAGCC